AGCACCGTAACAACTCTGCTCGATGTCTGTGACGACTTCATAGGGGCAATAGACAATTCTAAAGTTACTACTGCTGTCATGATAGATCTAAGTAAGGCCTTTGATTGCCTCAACCATGAACTACTTTTTGCAAAATTTCATTATCTTGGCTTCTCCGATAGTTCGATTAATTGGTTTCGCAGTTATTTTCATGAACGCATTCAGCAGGTAAAAATCGGTGACATCTTATCACAGGAGGGTACTATCTCCAGGTATACCACAGGGGTCTATTCTTGGACCTCTTCTGTTTTCTCTTTATGTAGCGGACTTAGATAAAGTCACTAAATACTGCAAATTACATACATACGCCGATGATACACAGATTTATCTATCTTACAACCCTGCTATGTACATTGAAGCGAATGAGATGCTGTCTGAGGATTTAAATAGTATATGTGTGTGGTATAACAAACATGGCTTATGTATTAACCCTAGAAAGTCGGCTATCATAACTATTAAATCTAAATTCAGCAAATTCAATAGTGAATTAATAAAGCTGTGTATTGGAGGTGATGAAGTTTGCCACAAGACATCGGTTCGCAACTTGGGCATCACATTTGATGAGAACCTGTGCTTCCATGATCATGTCACCAAAGTTGTACAGGGTTCCTATGCTAAGTTGAAGTCAATTTATAGCTATAAAAATGTATTGTCCAAGCAGACCAAGGTTAAGCTGTGTGACTCCCTTATCCTAAGTAAACTTGAATACGGGGACCTTGTCTATGGTCCATGTCTAATACAGAGCGAGGCATACAGACTTCAAAAAGTGCAAAACAGCTGCATAAGATTCAGTTTAGGTATTCAAAGGCGGGAGAGGGTATCTGATCATATTAAAAATATTCAATGGCTTACTATGCGACAAAGGTGGATACTGCATCTATTATCATTGGTCCACAGTATTATGATCAATAAAATGCCCCTTTATTTGAAGAACAAGCTTACCATGAGATGTGATCATCACTCAGCGAACCTGCGTTTTGTAGGATATACTCTTGACTTGCCTCGGCACCGAACAACCCAATTCAGAAAGAGCTTTTCATATGTGGCGCCCGATTTCTACAATAAAGTACCTCAAGCTTTGAAAACTTTATCTGTGTCCAGCTTTAAAAGAAAAGTTAGGCTCTTTGTCTTTGATGACATGTAGCATGTATTTTTTTTTTTTTTTTTTTTGATTTCATCTAGCATGTATTTTTACGTAATTTTGTTTTTATATTTGTTTATTTGTGCATGTTTTCTCACTCGTCACTTTTCATTTGTTTGTGTTTTGCTTACACATTTGTTACTGTTTACTTTTAATTTTTATATCTTCTGCCATATACCTAATATTTTCTTTTTTAAAGTTACTTCTAATCACGGTTTTTGATTCTGCTACGTACTCTGTTGCTGCACGTTTCTCTTTTGGTCTTTTGGTCATTATACCATGCTACGATTCTGTAAAAAAAATTTTTTTTTCTGCTTTAAATGTTATCTTCAATGTATTTTTGTTGTATTTGCATGTACTTGATTTTTTTTTTAGCCCTGGTTGGTTCTGAAAAACAGCTTGTGCTGATGTAACCCGCCAGGTAAAATAAAGGCCATTTATTATTATTATTATTATTATTATTATTATTATTATTAAAATCGTCAACTGGAATCAACCAAAATTTGTATTTTATTTGTATTGTTCATACTGAAAGGTCTTTACTTAGATTTAACGTGCAACAGTGGCGGAGATACAGGAAATTAGTGGCATCATTTTTTCGAATAAAAATAGTATACCCAGTCTTGGGAGGAGACTAAGTGCAACGGCGAAATTTTTGTTAATGATTACTGGAAAAGCATAATCAAAATGTAGAAAATCCCCTTTCTGTAAGAATTCATCCGTTTCAACACAGATTTGCTAGAATTGTCTGGTGCGGCATTTTCAATGGCCAAATGTTTATGCACGTATTGCCACAACGATCAAATTTCGCTTTTCTAGAAAATTACATAGAAAATGCGTTAGATGATGTTCCGTTAGCAACGAGAGTACGAATGTTGTATCAGCACGACGGTGCCCCACTGCATGTTCGTCATGACATGACCGCATGGTTAAATAATCACGTCACAGACAACGATGGATTGGCAGTAACGAGCCCGTACATTGATCTGCGAGGTCGCCTGATTTCAATCCCCTGGCTTCCTTTTTGTGGGGGCTTTTAAACTAGTGTATGCTGAACAAATTAATACTGCTGATCAGTTACCAGTAAGAATAGATAATGCGTCTCATCAAATTCAAGCCACGCTGGGCATTTGTAGATAAATGCAGATGGCTAGTTATTTGTTTTCATACAAGTAAGAACCAATAAAAGATTTGATTTGATTACAATGCTTCATTTCAAAACAAATCTCCCAAGCAAACACGCATACTCCACGTCACACCATCTTGTCATCCTCACCGTCGTATCGCCCTAACAATCCGGTACACCGTGAAACAACCGCCCTGGGGGGCTCCCCTAACCTTTGGGGGTGGTGGGGGTGGACACCGCCGCCTGACCAATGAGCATCGCTGTCGGATTATGAAGACATGACGCGGCACGTTGCTAAGCGACCGCAAACACCCCCGCGCCGCAGCGTGGAATATGCCGTCTGCCGCCTCCATCCGATGACGGGCAGCCCGCCCCCGCTCGCGGTTTATTCACGCCGATGCGGGATGATGAAAGGACGCAACGGTTGTGCGAGAGGATTTAGAGACGCTAGAAGTAAAAGAGAATGTGCAATGCGAAACCCTCATTGACTTCTATATTTTTTTTTCCGAAAAGACAAACGACGCAGGTGAAGTCGACGAAGTTGTGGCAAAGATCGGCGAGAGTGCAAAACTGGATTTCACGTCTAAACAAATGCGTAGAAAAAATAGCGACTATGGAGGAAAATAGAAATTCCTTTTTTCAAATAAAACATTCATTCTGCCTGAAAAAAATTTGAGAGCCATAATTTTGAAACTACCCTCGTATATAAACCAAAAGCATCATTATGCATAATATGTATGAAATAAAGGATTGAAATTGAATTGAATTGTCTATATCGAATGATATTTATAGTGCATCTGATTCCTTGCTTAGTTCTTCTTAATTGTGGTCAAGCTTTTGATACGTTTGACGCAAATGTTATATGTAATTCCTCAACTTATTTTTTGGCCTATGATCGTCGCATGCGCCACTGGTAGCTCGCGCTCAACAATCTGCGAACACGTATGCAGGCCGTAGCATTTATAACCAACGACTCGCCTGATGTTCACGCATGGTGAGCATCCACTATGGATGCCTGCCTTGTAACCGTACACCGTGAGATTTATAAATTTATATTTTGACAATCTAATGCTGCAATTTAGGGGACGCATTATTTATCGCTGCTTATCTGATGTTGCGCCGACGTTAGATGTGACACATTGTTTTTAATAACGGCAGCGACAAATGGTCGAATAATATCTGGATGTAGATCTTTCATAATAGTTTACCTCCAGATTTTCTACAGGCATTTGCAGCTGTCTCGATGATTACGGTAAGTAGATACTATGAGAGTTACATAGGGATCCGTTCTAAGGCATATACTTCAAACACCAGAGACAAAAAAATACTATGGGAGTTCCTCAGAGATCCATCTTGGGGCTATTATCGTAAGCTATGTAACATATTCCGCTGCAAAAATCGCAAGGATCCATTTTGAGGTCATTTGTGTGGATTTTGTATTCGTATTATTAAAATCAATAAAAACTGCTTTGTTGCAAAAATGTCTGTCTCTGACAAATACCTCAAACCTCAAAGACACAGAACACTGTAGGAGTCCTCAGGGATCTCTCTTGGGGCCATTATCATAGACTATCTATTCCGATTAAAAAACCACACTGATAAAAGAACGTCAACGGTTCAAACAGGCGACTATGGGAGTTCCTCAAGGATCCATTTTGGGGTCATTTGTGTGGATTTTGTATTCGTATGAACGGAGTCTATTCTTAAATTAAAAAACAGAGACAAATAATACTATGGGTGTTCCCTAAGGATCCATGTTGGGGACATTACTGTAGATTATGTATTCACATCACACTGATGAAACCATGTCAACGGTCCAAACAGGCGACTGTGAGAGTTCCACAGTGATCGAGTTTCGGGCCATTAGTGTGGATTTTGTATTCTTATAAATGATTTTGTTTTTTAAATTAATAAAAGCTGATTTGATAGAAAAATGGGTCATAACCGTGGATATGTCTTAGATTCAAGGGTTGAAACAATAAATAGTGTGAGACTTGTGCCGTCGTCGATTGAACTGAGTGAACGCTACTTTGAAGTAAATGGTACGTAGGGCCGAAAAGGCAACTATGGGAGTTCTTCAAGGTTCCTCGTTAAGGCCATTAGCGCATATTATGTATTCCGATGAGTTCAAAAGTTGAAAATAGTAATAGCGTGGTGCTTACTATAGTCTTAAATCAGTGAATCGCTACTTTGTTGAAAAATCGTTAAACATGAAAGCTGAGGGGTTCCTCAAGAACCCATCTTGAGGCCACTTACATGAGTCGTGTATTCCGATGAGTTTGGGAATGACAAAAAGTGCCTTTGATAAAAGAACGATAATGGTAGGAGAGTCCAAAAAAGAAGCCTGCAGTTTCTTAGCGATGTTGAGGAGATTTCAGGGTGACTATTGTGAAACGAGAGTTGCGGTTGAAGATGATAGTGTGAGACTCACCATGGTCGTCGAGATAAAAGAACGATAATTGTAGGAGAGTCCAAAGAAGAGACCTGGCAGGTTGTCAGGGATCTTAGGAGGACTTCAGGGTTACTACTACGGAATGAGAATCACGGTTGAAGATATTAGTGTGAGACTCATCATGGTCGTCGAGATGAAAGAACGGTAACGGTAGAAGTGACCCGGCACTTCCTCAAGGATCAATTTCACAGCCACCATAGTGGAACGGGATTCACAGTTGAAGATGATAATGTGAGACTCACCATGGTCGTCGATCCGTTTCCTCTTGATATTGTTCCCATTAGGATCGTGTTGCAGTCCGAGTATCCCGTTGATGCTGTACGCTCCCGACCGCGTTTCTCCCGCTGTCAGTTGCGTGGGAGGCGCATGCGCGATGACGCTCACCGAAGACTGCGTCGACGTCGATGAAGCGGCGGCTGCGGCTGACACGGCGATGTGGTGCGCGTGTTTCGCTTTTTCTGCCGCTTTGTTACGCACAATCCTGGAAAGAAAAAAAATGTTGAAAACGTGCGAAATTTTCGCTACGATAGCTTTTTCGACACGAAAAATGGAATGTTGAGAATGTCTTTCTTCTGAGATATTACATGGTTTACGTGTGCAACAAATTTTAAGTCATCCATTATAATATACAGGTTCTTCGAATGATCTAGAGGTACTATTTTACTACCTTTTAAATTTATGTTTTTCCTTTTTAAAGCATTCCTTTTTGTTTTATTTGCATATACCAACATATTTGTCTTCAAAGGGTTCAAATGAAGATTGTGACTACTAATAAACTTTTCAATTTGGGCTAGTTCTTGATCAATTTTATTATTAACTGTTTCCAAGTCATTACGTCTTAATGAATAGAAAATATGAGTGTCATCGGCAAAAAAATGTATGCTGCACGAATTAATATCTGTTTCTAAATCTGAGATATATAATGAATATAACAGCGGCCCTAACACAGATCCCTGTGGTACACCAGAACGATTTTTTTGTGCGATAGAGTACTGTTAGCTTAGACGAACTTTTTGAAACTGGTTTTCAAGGTAGGTTTGAATGTAAAAGAGGGTTTTTAGAAAATTTATAATAACTACATTTAGACACAAGAAGTGAATGATTAATTCTATCGGAAAAGCACAGTGATGTTTAAACAGCTCATACCATAAATGGCGCTAGTATTTTCCAGGTCCCTGAAGGGTGTCATTCAAGAACAAAATTCTGGAGTACGTATTACATGAATACTATTTTCGAATAGAGAAAGGGTTCCGGCCTAATTACCTTCGTATCGCGTGACCAAACAAACACCTAATCCGATTACACAGTCGATCGCTCCCAAACAAGCTCCAAGAGTACTCGCGACGCCCCCCCGCAGAGGTACCATTCATCCCTAATGGAAAATCCCACCCCTCTCCATATAACTGCCACCCCTCGGACGTACGTATATCACAAACATTTTAATGAAGTATACCACTTCAGGTACACAATGGGCATCGAAGTCTATTTTAATAGATGTTAAGTCGCTACTGTGACAATGGGGCGCCCTCGGTGCTTCGGGCCTCACACATCTGCTCTCGAGATGAAAATGAGAGGGGGAGGGGGGATAGAGGAAGGAAGAGGAAGATGGATACGTCCAGGTATGCATACGTACGGACAGAATACGCCGGGTAGGATATTTATGAGACGGGACATGGGTGGAGTTATGAGGGATGAGTTATATGGGCTTCTTATTTTAGTCGTCTTAGATTAGTTGAAAAATAGGAAGATGCTTATTGTTCGCTGAATCAGTGACATGCAAGTAATTCGTACTATGCTGATGGTGCCTCAGAGCAATAATTTACTGTCCATCACTACAGGTATCATTTAGAAAGCCACACAAAGTACAATAGTGAAAAAGACACAAAAAAGAGAAATGCGCTTTACGTACAGAGAAAAGAAACTATGAATATGACTAATAGGTAATAGGTAATAGCAAAAAAAATAATATAAAGCTATATCATGTGAATGTATAATTAACGAAAACGTTAGTACTTCTTAATTTCTGAAATCCACAACAGAAGATATCACAAAGCTTCCAATCCTATTCGGATTTTTGCACATAAAGTTAATTAGACAGAAGATTTGTCTGTGCCCTCTTGCAGATAAAGGAAACTTTATATTTGGATGTCGATCTAGATATCAGGAAACGATTTGGCGATAGCGAAACAGGACAGTCGATGTTACCATGTAGTACTTTGTATAAAAATATCAGATTCTGCAAAGTAGAGTCACTAAATCTATTCAATAATAATTATCCTCTTGGCACTATCATTCGTATACCACAGGTACGAGCCCCTTCCCACTTCAGTTGGCCCAACTATTGAAATCTTAGTTTTTTCTTATCAAACACAAATAATAAAACTGTAGCAGGGTGTTATATATTTAAAATATTAACAATGAATATTTTGATAATATATAGCAGAAAACACCAACTTTATCACTCCCTAATCAAATAACACATGTTTGCAATTAGAACATATCAACCTATTTTCATTTCAATGCAAAATAAGTCTATAATGCATAGGTGGCTGTGAAAAATAAAAGCCATGACAATTATTTTTATTAATCACCGCTGTCAGAATACGTTTAAAATAGTTTTGAGTAGTTAGAGTTTTCAAAATGGGTAGAGGAAAGGTTATAAGTGAGAAAATTCGGTTACTGATAATTAAATTTTTTAATTCTGGGAAATCAAACTCAGAAATTGCAGCTTCGTTAGACTTATCGCGGTACAGTGTGAGAAACATTGTTAGAAGATATAACGTAACTGGTTCAGTTAATATTAAGCCACGATATGGGAAAAAAAAGTAATATCACAAATGCCGAACGAAGAGCATTAAGAAGAATAATCGTGAATAACAAGCTTGCCAATTATTTACAATTAAGTGCTCTGTGGAGTGACGCTGTTGGAAGGAGAATTTCGAGGTTCGAAACTCATAGAGTTGCACAACTTGTTTATAGGCCAAAGAAAAGCCACTATTAACTCCACAGCAAAAGAAAAATCGGCTTAGATGGGCTAAAGAACAACACCTCAACAATGGTGTGCAATACAATGGAGCGATGAAGCCCGATTCGAAGTTTGTGTTGGTGACAGTCGCAGTAGAGTTATTCGCAAAAAAATTAACCATTTCATGTTGACTGTCTGAAGAGAAAAGTGCAATTTCCAGCATCCATTATAGTCTGGGGCAGTATGTCATCAAAAGGAGTAGGAAAACTTCATTTTATTGATGGAAATGTGGATACAAACAAATATTTGGCAATTTTAGAAGAATTTTTACCAGTGATGGAAGAATGTTTGACATCCGGCCAAGATTTTGTGTTTCGGCAAGATGTTGCAGCGTGCCATACCTCAAAAAAGGCTATAAAATGGATGGAAGAAAATAATGTACCACTTTTGAAATGGGTTTCTAGCAGTACAGATCTGTCACCAATTGAAACTTTGTGGCACGAAATGAAAACGGTTCTATACGTACAACATCCTGCTCGTACAATCACCGAACTGAGACAAAAGCTTCAAGAATGGGATTGTTTTACACCAAATTTTTGCCAAAACTTGGTTAACACTATGCCCCAAAGAATTTCAGCTTTGTGATAATTGGCATTTCTACGATTTCTGATAATAAAGCCATCTGTGCGATACGCATTACTTACTAATTTCACTGATATGGTAGTTAACGGTGATCTGATTATCGAATGTCCAAATCTTTGACTGCAACACCCTGCACGTTGATAATGACACAATTTTGTATTAATTTTTATATAATTGTAAGACGTACCTTTTAAGTTGAAAATAATGCTACGTTTTTCTGAGACACCCTACACAGTCAACCCCTACTTAACGTCATTTGATTGATAATGGGAAAATTTTGGATCAAGAACGTATAAATCGTACCTTCAACCTTGAAAATATTGCTATGGTCTTATGAACCACCCAGTAGAATCAACCTACTTTACGCCGTTTTTTACACCGTTTCCGCAAGTACGAACGAAAGAGAGAGAGACAGTGAAAATATCGATTATCCGTAATAATTCCTATATGAAAATCGTTGCCGTACTGCCAATGGGCTTATATTGAAGTGTCAACCATTGTTTGCGTGCTATTGTATCCCGGTTGGAATTGTTGGGAAAAGGCCAACTCGCCTGTCTGTATGCCTGCCCGGTCCCCGCTTTGTGTTATAATGCCACATCGTTTTAAATGCTATTTAATAAAAATATTTGGCTTCCGATGCATATGCTTACAAAACTTTATGCTAAACGCGAATTCATTATCTGTAAAATAGTCGAGTCTCGACGCTTTTCGAAACAATGCAGTAACGGATTTTTTTGTGACGTTTTCAACTACGAAAAAACGAATACATGTAGTTCTCCTTCTCGCAGTTTGACTTTAATGCATTCTTCCGATTATTGAACATCGCATCGTTTGACATTTTTTACAAAAACTTGCGTGGCACTATTTTTTGTCATATAGACATCCTATATTGAACAACCTGTATAACCTTGTCTCCAATAACCTCATGTATTAATACATAATACATAATATCTGGCGCCCCCTGTAATCCGACATCTCTTTGAATATGTATTACATACGTACGTATTTGACAATCTTCGCTAATGTAGATCACGCAGGTTTGAACAGGTTATAACTTGTACGCACCACCGCTATCGTGCTCGACGCGTAAGCATTGTTTTACTTAGTTTGAATTTGACTACTTGTGATAGCGGTACGGCCTAGCGTGCGTTCATTGTTTACTATTTATTCATTGCGTATTAAGTATAGTACCTAGTAATGTCATCAGAAACTCAGGAGCGAAAGCACAAAACATTGACAATTAAAGAAAAAAGTGATATTTCAGACCGCTTAAATCGCAATGAAACTTTCAGTAGTTTAGCAAGTGAATACGGCGTAGGCCGATCTACAATTTATGACATTAAAAGAAACCACGCGAAGATCAAGAAGCTCGTGTCAACTACTGATTGCGGGCCAGGTAAGAGATAGACACTCAAGAAACCTGAACATCCAGAAGTGGAAGAAGCTTTGTACATGTGGTTTCTTCAGGAAAGAAATAGGCATGCACCAATTTCAGGACCCATGTTGGCCATGAAAGCTAAGTTTTTTTTATAAGGAAATAACAAAAATACGTTTAATGACTATTACAGGAGAGAAACTTTATAATGATGCCACCTGCATAGAGCCCTTTAAATTAAGATTTCTGCAAAAGCTGAACGATTTAAATCTTGACCCGTCACAAGTGTACAATGCAGACGAATCAGGGCTTTTTTGGCGGGTGATGCCTAACAAAACTTTCGTTTCTTGTAACGAAAAATCCGTACCTGGACGAAAAGTAAGTAAAGAGCGTGTAACCATACTACCATGTGCTAACGCTGCGGGCACCCATGCGCTTAAGATGATGGTCATTGGGAAATCTAATAAACCGCCGGCATTCAAAAACATTGATTTACCTG